ACTTGTTCTGTCAATAAAGTTTTATTGAAACACAGCAGTGCCCATTTGTTTACATATTGTCTATGTTTGCTTTTACATTATGGTGGCAGAGTTGAGTGGTTGCAACAGACAGCCAAAAACATACTATCTGGCCCCTTGAGAAAAAGTCTGTCTACCCTGCTCTTGTACAAGCCATTACTACATGTAAGAATCTCCTCTATAACATCATGTGCAAGTGGTCCCCCAAGACCTCCGCTTAAACACCCCAACCACCTAGTTGAAGGGGTTTCCTACCACCTCCCAAGGCAGCCCCTCCACTTTCTCACAGCTCTGTCTTCTCTAAACTTCTGGCTGATATTGAGCTCATTGTTCGTCTCCAGTCAACCCAAGCCCGGCCCCAGAGCCCCAGGAGGTAAGTGCCAACTACCACACACACACACACACACACACTGGCCCTCAGACAGGAAGTCAGAGCCTCTACCGGGATGTACTCTCCCCGTGCCAGCTACCTCCTCTCTCTCCACCATGATTTTACATCCAGGGGTCTCTGAAGGGCCAACATGTGAATTCTGATGCCACCTCCCCAGACCCCCCCCCCTCTGGGTCAGATCTTCCCTACAGACTCAGATTATTTCCCTCTAGAATTGGTTTTTCTTTTTCATTAAGTATAAGGAGAACCTCTGTGTCAGAGCATTTGTCTACATGTCATCAAATGTGGGCTGGCGGCACAGAAGGGCGAGAGATGGGTAAATTCACGCATCAGGGCTTCGTTCCCCTCCTTGCACCAACTACAGTCATCCATGTATTTGAACTGCGTTTCCTAAGAGCCTAGAATGATAGGAACTTGAGTTTTCTGACTGAAGCCCATGTCTGTTCTCTTAGTCACAGAATGGCTCCCAGCCAGGCTATTACCTGGTTCCAGGGTTACAAGCCAGGAAACAGCTCTACCTGCCATGATACGTAAGCCCTAGGCCCGCCTTTGCTCTGTGTGCGGCTCAGGTTTTCCAGCTGCTTTTGGAGATGCTACTGCTGGGTGGTCTTTAGGGGCCTCTAAGGACCCTTCCCAACATGTGAGTCCGCACTGCAGAGAATCACAACCCTGTGGCTACAGATGGTCAGATCACTTCCTCCCAGCTTCGGGGCCACTTCCACGTGTCTGACCCTCTGTGGTTTCAAAAGAAGGAAGGAAAAGGGAGGGGAGTGGAGGGGAAGGACAAAACCTCTAGAAAAACCTTTGACTTTTTGATCTGTGTACTGAGAAAATACTCAGTAAGTAGGAAGAGAAAGGGTTCAGCTGTGTCCCCAGGATTTTTATTTTTTCCTCCTGGATCCTGGCTGAAAAGCTAGTAGACGACAGCAGGAGCAGAATTCATCCCACAGGAACCACTGGCCAAGGGGAGGGGAGAGGCCACCTGGCAATTGAGGTGGTGAGGAATCCAGGACATCCCTGCACAGGAGGCTGCTGAGGCCAGGAACCTGCTCCCTAAGTCCTGTGACCAGGGGTCCCCTCCAGGAGGCCACTGGTGCGAACCCCGAGGGTACTGAAGAATTGTCAGCATCCTCCTGTCCTTCCTTCATTGCATCCCAGCCTGCGCCCAGAGACAAGTCCAGGAGCAGAGCCAGTCTAAAGAGGATAATTACTCTGCTCCATGCCAACTCTGGAGTGGCCCAGTGCAGACGTGACGAAGCAGCTCCGGACGAAAGAATGAGATCCTGAGATGTCTGAATGGGAGGAGGCTGAGACCTTTTGTCTCGGAGAGGGAATGGGAGGCACCAGGTCTAGGCCCCTGTTTTCCTGACTCTCTCAGTGCAGGTTCTCCTCTACATCACACCCAAATTCCCATTCTACCAATGACCCAGAGGTTATAATGAGATGGATGGGGCCAGAGGGATCAAACTCACCTCATTCGCACCAATTCAAATCAAGGAGTCTTCAATTCACACCACACCAATTCACACCCATTCAAACCAAGACGTATCAACTTACACCTCTAAGTTGACACCTACCTTTGCCACTGAGAGGTCGATGGGCTTTGACACTATTTGCAGTTTGGGCATTGATGGGGCTGGAGAGAGAATGACTTCTTCCCTTATCAGCTCATCCTCCACATCCTCTGAAAGAAAGCCGTCCTGTGTGAGCTCCTTGTGATAATTCACAGAGCACAGAATCTGAAGTCACTTAACATCAACAACAATGATGAGTTCTGAGACAGTTTGAATTAACAACGGGTTCCTCCATCATCCACCCCCCCGTCCCCTTCAGGGCTCCCAGGCCCTCATCAGAAGGAAAGTAGGCAGAGCCGACACAGCCCTCACTCCCTGTCCAAACCTCTCGCTGGTCCGTGCCTCAAGGATACTGGAGAGTGGGACTGGGCTACTGGTCCACTAGAAAGTTCTGCTTGTGGGCATGCAGTGAAACAAATGCCTAGGGCTTGAGCCATCGAGTCAGGCCCAGAAAAGCCTCGCCCAGACACCTGTCTTACGAAAGGTGGGCATAATGCACGAATCTGTCCCTCTGAGGACAGACATGGAGAGGGCAGAATTAGGAAAGGAAATGCCACCATTCATAATAGTAATAATAGTAATAATAATAATAATAAAAATTGGGTTGTCGGAAAAATCATGACATATTTTTTCTGTTTTTCGTTGCAAAAATGCGTCATGACTTTTCCGACAACTCAATAATAATAATAATAATAATAATAATAATAATAATGCTACTGTGGCTTTCGTTCATTAACCATTTGTGTTTTATCACCTAAGCCCCATAGTAGCCCCTGAGGGAGTAATTATCATACACCCCCTCCCAAATTACAGATGAGGAAACTGAGGTTTAGATAAGTTAAGTAACTGACCTAAAGTCACACAGATGGAAAGTGATAGAGATGGGATATAAACCCAGTCCTCACAGCTCTGCCATCCTACCAGCCACACCGCCCTGGACCTCCAGCCAAAACGGACACTAAGTCACACTCCGAATATAGTCCCCTTAGAGCTGGGGTGACTGACGCCCAGACAGGGTCCCACTGTGAGTCTTGGCAGCACCTGTGCCTCCCCAGCCCCGGCTGAGGCTCCCTCTTGTCCTCACAGCCCCTGCAGTAGCATTTACCAGAAAACTCAGAGGAAGGACCCAAGTGGAAACAGCCCAAGGCAATTATGCTGGCACACTGAGCAGGTTCAGTCTCCAGAGAGCCTCTGGAGACTTTCATTTTATTTTTCCCATTTCCCAAGATTAAATGGGTACTTTAAAAATGCACCACACTGCAGAGAAATCAACATTGTCTCCCATAATTCTGTGCATCTGGGGCTATAGACATGTCCCTGGCCCTGGCCCACAGCTTCTGGAGATGGTGTCCAGAGGCCAGCAGCCCCAGGACACATCTTATATCTTATTCCACAGCCTTCTTTTCTTCCTTGGAGGAGCAGGCATAGCGGGAGGCCAGCTCCTGGAGGCTCCGCCCACTGAAAAGGGGACAGATTTCACCTTTAGGCTGAAAACAATGTTTTTATGTAAGCCTGGGACTTAAATGAGAACCTGAATTTCAATGAGAACGCTTCGTAGCTAGGGTCTCTGAACAAACCGCCCTGGGACCATGGCCTTACAAAAATGCCCTGAAATAAAGACCAGGTGTTCACCCAGCAACACGCACAGGTCTTAAAATCACGGGGCTGGGTGGAGAAGGGAAGAAAGCAAATGAGATGTATATGCCTTACAAATACACGCGCACACACAACAACACTACACATGTTGCAAGGACATGCACCAGCAAAACGATATCGACTAAATACACGAGGATGGCTGCTTACGGAGAAGAGGGTCACGGGAGTGTGGGGTCGGGCTAAAGGAAAATACGGAAGGAAAAGTGAGAGCGAGGGAGGAGGAGGGAAGGGAGGAAGAAAAGGAGGGAGGGAGGTGAGGAGGGAGGGCAGGCTTTCCGAAAGTCAATACTGAGAACTTTGCTGGAGGAATAGAGAGAATTCAACTCTAGTCACCAGAGGCCCAAACAGAGGGAGCACGTCGTCTGAGTGATTCCACCAGGCTGCGAAAGGCTTCTTGCAATGCCTCGGGCCAGACTGTTTCCTGGAGGCACAGAGGAGACACTACTTAAGCCTACTCGGAGGCTTCTGTTTAGTCTGAGGTTGTCCAGGAGGGAGTCAGAGCTAAAACATGCTCTGCTCAGGCCCCATGAAGTCAGTCTGAGGATGGCAGCTGCGGCCCAAGGAAAGCGGGCCGGGTGGAGGCCCCAGGAGGAAGCAACGACGCTTGGTTTCTGCCAGGAGGGAGTTGGCCCTGGTGCAGAGAGTTGCTTCGGGACCACATAGCAGGCCTCAGGCCCAGATGTGGCGGGACCGCCATGCAAGGGAAAAACAAAGCACTGTAGAGTGACAAGTTGGCCAAGCGGACAAAACCGTCTGCAAATGCTGGCAGTTTGAGAGTGCTATTTTTAAGGCCCTGGGATAAAGGTCTGGCTGAAAAGAAGCAAGGGATTTTGTATCTCTTACCATTTTATTCACTCCTTGGAGGAAAACATATATAATAGAGGTCGTGTACCTCTTTTTCCAGGTGCCCACTCGGTAGGTATTTCTCACTGACTACAAGATATCTTCCCCTGGAAGTGCCGTAATGTCCCCGACTCAAGAATCTCAGCACTGCATCCCTCAAGTCTTAGGTTTTGGTAACAGACTCCATCTCCCCACCCCTCCAGCAGGGACCCAGGCTAAACCCACGACCCTCTCCCACACACCATGCAGCAGCAACCTCAGGTTACTCTGCCTCTAGGAGGTCCCCTACCTTGCTCAAGCCCTTTCTCTCTTCTCTGTTACAGAAACACGTCATGATTTTTCTACTTGTTCATCAAGCACTTTGCCCAGGATGTACCAGGGATTCTGTGCTCCAGGAATGATTAAAACACCACCCCTGCCTTCCAGGGGAGCCCCAAATAATATAACATAAGCTCTAAAATAGAGACGAGTGCAAAGGTTTTAAGAGCAGAGGGGGCAAGGCAAATAATTCTGCCTTGAAAGGGAAACGTCCCATTAGAGGTCAGTATTTGAGCAGGGTCTGGAAATACCCATAGCATTTCCCCAGCTAGAACAGTGGCCCAATCACCTCTTTTCTGGACCATTCCAACAGCCCCCTATCCAGTCTCCCAACATCCAGGCTCTTACTCCTAAAATCCGTCCAGAGGCAGCCCCAAACACACAGCATAGAGTCTTCATGTGCTCCTCACTGGCTAATGACTTAGTCAGACGCCAGACAGCGCCCAGGCCCATCCTCACCCTGCCACGGGCCACAGCCTTCGTTCCCAGCCTCATCTGCCCTTGGCCCCACGACTCCCCAACAGGCCAGTCGCCTCAAGCCAGTCTCTCTCTCTCACACCATGAGGTTTGTGTCCCATCTCTACTTGGCAAGACCTTTCCCATCTTTCAAAGCCCAATCTACATCCCGTCTCACTATGGACACTTCCAGGACCCTCCACGGAACTTGCTTTCATATGTCTCTTGAAGCAGTGAACAACTCTCGATCATGTGCTTCATGTGCTGCTATGGGAGGACACCTGTGTCCCACCCAACCCTGCCCTCCAGGAAGGCAGGGCCACTCTTTACTGGCCTCGATCTGCTCTCAGCCGTCCTGGACGTGCCCTGGCATGGGACAGCTTGCTGAATGGAACCAATGAAAACTGAACTGGGGTGGGGAGGAGAAGGCTGTTCCCCTAACCAGATTTCACTCCTTGCTTCTGTCCCCCACGCCAGAACTTCTCTTTCCTTTTCTCTTAGTGTCTGGGTTCTATGATGGCTTTTATCTCCTTCTCCATTCAAAGTCGTTAACTGAGCCGCTCGCAGAGAGGGGTCTGCCCCGCTCTGGAAAGCGCACACACACACTTCAAACAGCTGGGTTCTGAGAGACTTGCTAAAAGCCTTCCTTCTAATAGAAACCCTCTGGGTTCTAAAGGCCGGGAACTGCTTCGCTTTATGTCCAAACAAGAGTGGCTTTCACTGGAAAAATCTCAAAGCGAGGCGCTTTCCAGAAAGGCATCAGACGCCAGCACTTCCTGGCTCCGGGCTCCATTCTATATGGCCACGTGCAGAAAACTGCCCCATCCTGGGGAGGCCAAAGGATCCGCACCGGCCATTTCTGAAGATTAAAAACGGTGGACCTGTTACCTCTGAAGTGAGCTAAGCAGAATAAACAAACCTGCCTCCGTCCTTTAGCAGCCGGCCCTTGCCTTTCAACTTCATCAAAGCAAACTGTCAGAGAGCACATCTCACACAAACAACTTCTAAAGGGCACAAGGCTTTCTTCCTTCAGTTTAAAAGGGACTGCTTAAAAGGAGAGGGAAAGTGTGGGCACAGCCCCTATGTGCCCAAAGAGTCCGACAGATAAACGGCCGGCTTCCTCCTTTCCTGTCTGCTCGTTGGCTTGTTCTCCGCCATTCTACTGCTGCTTTTGCCAAGCCCTGCAAACACACTGGTCTTTGGGGAGCAGAGGATTACAGAGAGAGAGAGAAAAAGAAAATTGCTTCAAAAGTAAAGAGTGGGTGGCTATGTTCTCCCCCTTGATCCTGGAAGGTAGTTACACAGATGTGTACGTAGGTGAAAATGCACTGAGCACAAAAGTGTGCGCACTTAGGCACGTCACTGGTTGTACTTCACATCTCAAAAATACGTTGATAATTTTTTTTTTAAATGGACTTCCCCAGGCATAGCTGTACTCATATTTTGACTGAGAATGGTCTTCTGGAGACATTTGTAGGTTCTGAATGGCCTTAAGAGAACCTCCAAACACAGAAAAGGCTCCCCTGGTCACCCCCCGTGTGGATCCAGAAATGCTCAGCTTCTCATGAGAATTTCTCGGGGGGAGAAAGGCAGGCGGTACAAGGGGGCATCAGCCAAAGAGAGAGGAGTTGGCTCTGCTCACTGGGCCAACCCCTCCTTCCTGAGGTCAGGTGGGAAGAAAGAAACCCCTACCCCCACCATCCACACCCTCCCATATGGAGCAAACGAAGACCACAGGACCTGACGGGCACACCACAGAGGCAGCAGCCTCACCTACCGAGCTGCAGAGCACCCAGGTCACCATCGGCCTTGCTGGACACCGGCAGCTGATTTTTCCTAGAAAAAAAGACAATGTCAGTGTACCAGAGGAGAATGACAAAAAGACGCAAACAGCAGAGCAGAATGAAGGCAGTACCGGAAGGGGGTTCAGGAGATGGGTTCCCTCTAGCCCTGGACCTGTTTTCTGTGTGTGCCCTGCACTGGTCACTCTCCCTCTCTGAGCCACAAGTTCCATATTGGGTGGGACCAAGCCATTTTTCAGTGCTGTGTTCTCACAGACAGAGGGACAGGGACACACACACAAACACACACACACCAGCCAATACGGGATGGTCAACCCTATAATCTGACACTTGCCAAGAACCTAATGCAAGTTAATTTGCTGATGTCACCATGATACTGCTGGGAAACACACACACACACACACACACACACACACACACACACACACACACACACACCAAGTTCTTGTAATCATTACACAGATTGTTTTCATCTTATCTCTATTTTTTCTTTTTTTTTTGGTTTCCTTTCTCTCATCATTCCTGTAAAGCTCTCAGCCACCATTTATAAGAAACCTCTAAAATGCACCAAAGAACCTGTCCTGTATCCTTCTCTTACCTGGAAAACTGTCCTGTGATTCTGATTTGTAAATTCAGGTGTGTGCATGAGGAACTTTCTTTAAACGATCTACCTATATGTTACCTCTCTTTTGGGTTTTCTTTCCCCCTCCAGCATGCCTCCATCTGAACGAAAGTAAAATCATTTTCTAAAAAGAATGTATTCAAAATAACCATATGAGATCACTCTCTGAAAATGCATTGACTATGTTAAAAAAAATGACAGCTCTTTTGATGGGGGCATTGAAATATTTTTCCTCCAACATCCTTGCAGGGTAAGATATGATTGAAGTAACAATCGTAATCTTGCCACGGTACGTTCTATTGAATTGGCTTCCTCCTGAAGATGTATGAAGGGGCGTGAGTGGAAGATGGCCGGGGACGTGCAGTACCAGATCCGAGCACATGCTGCTTTGGGCTCCGGGTTTCCTTCTCTGGTCCTGGAACACAGACCTCCTTCCCACTCCGCCCAGGCAGCCCTGCTCCTCCCCTCGTCCTCCCCCACCCATCAAGCCCATTTTCCTCCATTTGAAACTGTCAAATTCCGACGCCCCTGCGCTACCAGGATTCTGCAAGCGTTCTTGTGGGGCATGGTGAGAGAAGGAGCTGGAAGGAGGAGCTGAGACGTGGAGGGGCGGCAGAGGGCGTGAAAGGGGGGCAACGCCGAGGCTGTGTCAGAGCCACCCCTCGCCAGCCCCCAGCACTGTCATCAAAAGCCCCCTTCAAAGGTTCCCAATCCTTCAAAGGCTCTCCATCATGAACACTAATCATATTCACAAATGATTCAAAAATGATGGCAATAATAACAGCAACTACTGTTCTCTGACACCCAGTTCCAGGCGCTGTCCTGAGTGTTTTGCAAGCATCCAAAGTCTTCTGCTTCTCAGAACAGCCTCATGAAGTACAGTTACCGCACCAAGTCTCAGAGAGGTCTTGTAATTTCCCCAGAGTTACACAGCAAGTAAGTGGCAGCACAGGAATTGGGACCCAGGCAACGACTCCAAAGACCACCACATACACTGCTTCCATGGAAAGTGAGGTCCGGGCCATTGGGGTGCCCCACGGGCTATCTACGACCTGGCCACCAGCTGCCCCAGCCTCATCCCTCTCTGTACCCTCACATCCACCTGCAGTACCACCCTGCTGAGCATCTCAGGCCCATGCCTCTATACGTTTTCATAAGCTGTTCACTGCACCTAGAAGATCCTTTGGCAAACTCATACTAATCCTCTACAGCCCAGCTGGGCCGTCACCTCCCTCTCAACTCCAAAATGCGTTCATTCATTTCTTCACTCACTCACCCAGCAAACATGTGGCAGTTACCCAGCAGGCCTGTCTCCCTGCCAAACGGAGACCCAGCCATGTAAAACGAACAGACATAAACTGCGACATGAGGCGGTGTGGTAGGCTACATCAATGGCCCCCAATGATACCCATGCGCTAAAACCTGTGAATGGCACCTTGCAAACTGATTAAGTTAAGGCTCTCGAGATGGAGGAGGGTATTCTGATTTATCCAGGTGGGGACGAGTGTAATTACAAGCGTCCTTATAAGAGGGAAGCCGGGGATTTGACCCAGAGGAGGAGAGCTGATGTGATGACGAAAGCAGAGATCCGAGCCACGCCCTTTGATATTGGAAGAAGGGGCCACAAGGCAAGGAATGGGAGTGGCCACTGTAAGTTGAAGAAGGTGAGGAAACAGAGTCTCCCCTAGCGCCTCCAGAAAGAACCAGCCCTGCCAACACCTTGACTTCAGCCCAGGGGAAGTGGTTTCAGACTTCAGTCCTCCAGAGCAGGGAGAGCAGAATAAATTTGTGTTGCTTTAAGCCACGAAGTTTCTGGTAATTTGCTACAGCAACCACAGGAAACCACTGCTGGTAAGAGAAGTCACTGAGGAGGAGGAACACAGGACGGCAAGATTCTCCTGGTCACCTCTGTATCCGTGTGCCCAGCACCTAGTCCGTGCTCCATAAATGGGCACCAAGTATCGCGTGGCCCTCATAGAAGCTAGGTGACTAACACAAGTCACACAACTTAGAAGTGCCAGAGCCAGGACTCAAACCCAGTATTAAATAAATACTCTATTTTGGTCTTTATTCTATTTTTCGCTTTCTTCCGCTGTCCAGAACTCTCTATGGCTCCCTGTGGACCATGGGACCAAGTCCAAACCTCCCAAGTGCCCCCACACACACACTCCGGCTCCTGAGAGTAAAGCCACGAGGCACACAGGTGGCCGCGAGTTGTGGTGAGAGGGTGGGGGTGATGTTCCCACTGTGCAGGGTACAGTGGGGCGCTCCGGGTCACGAGGCTTCCACCCGGAGCCTCATCCATCAGCTTCAAGAACTCACTTAGATGCTTTGCCCATTTCCCACAGATCTCATCACCAGAGGAGGCTTCAAGTACGCTCACACTCAGGGAATGTGCCTATTGTTCCTTTCATGTGTCCCTTTGTGGCATAAGCTTTACAAAGTTTAAAAGGTCAGTTTAAAAGCATGTTCTTGCCTTTGAGTGAAAACTATTATGAAAAACAAAGACAGAAAGATAAATCAAGGATTCCAAACACCGTTTCAAAATGTGATTGTGCAGACAACCCAGAGACATGTGTCAATGTGTGCATCTAATAAATCCGTAGGAGGCAGGCCACAGACACCCAGCTCGCCTGCTGTGTCTGGGGCCTCCACTTCCCATCCACACTCTTCTCTGTGACCCCAGAGGACAGGCAAGGGCTGGGGCACTGCAGGTGTTCAGAGCTACCTGGGGCCAGGACGCAGTCCCTGGGTAACTGAATCTTGGCTGAGTGGAATGGGCCACTCGGAGGCCTGAGTTCTTGTCCCTGCTCCTGCCACTCCGCGCGACCTTGGGCAAGCCACTTACGTATGCTCTGTGGGCATCGGGCGCCTCTCTGTGTCTCGGAAGAAGGCTGAGCATGTCCACCCACTGTGGGAGAAGATCACGTTCAAGGGTTCTGAGAGGACGGCCTCGCCCGGGCCATGCTGTTCTTGAAGATGCTCTAGTGCTAATAACATCCCAGCACCCAGGATATTTCTCCAGTTCCTAACATAAGAACAGAGACGAGGAGACGCTTCTTCCTGTATGTTTGGTCCTGGACACTTGGCTAAATTGGTTATGGATTCTAAAAGCAAAGGTGCCCCACGTGAATAAAGATTCTGATCACTTTCTATATGTTCTTCTACTGGATGAAAATGCAGACTCCAGTGTGAATGAAGTCCAAATGGACCCCCACTCATGGAGCACAAGAATCCAGAATATAAGAAATTAACATACAATTTCCCAAGCCAGTGATAGCCCAGCAACCTAACCAAAGCAATGGGAAATTATCTGGAGGGCACTTCCACAAAGCAGGTCACACAAGATTCCCAGGGTGGAGGAGAGAGATTTCTTTTTTAGAGTCCCACTGAAAATATGTACAAAAGACTATTAAATATATTAAGAAAATGATGCACATAAGTGAGAGCCGGCTAACACAACAAATAGGACCCCAGGAACTCGAGATAACAGAACAAAAACCTAGAAGTCTTGTAATTTGAGATAGTAGAGAAACTTTTTTAAAAAAAGAAATGAAAACCATAAGAAAAGAAAAAGACTATGAGAAAAGAATGGGCAGCTTTGAAAAGTAAATACAGTCATAGAAATCAAATGGGCATATATATGGACATATAATGATGGTGATGGTTAACACCATATTAAATATATATATATATATATATATATATATTTTTAATCTGTGACTCTGCTTCTAGAGGAGGAAGGAAAGGAGGAAAGTGGGAGGGAGGGATAAATAACAAAAAGCTCTTCTCTTATAGAATACCGTCAGCTAATGGATGTAAAAGGAATGACAAAAATTCAAAAATCCCCATTTTATAAACTCCTAATATGGAAAAAGATCATTGATGGATGCTAAAACCACTGGTTGAGAGGTTTCTGAGGAACAAGATATTTGCACAGTCCGAAGGGTACAGGTTCCTTATTAATTGCAAAAGGAAAGTTACCTTTTTAGTGCTGAACAAACGGCTCTAGTGGAGTGATCCAACTCAGCATCACCAAAAATAAAACAAACTGACCTATGTGCTCCTGGAGTGATGTAATGGGAAACACACAGCATCACTTATGCATCGTCTTTGCCAAAATTCGTTCCCATAAATCTAATCATGAAACAGGCATATCTGAAATGTGCTCATTCTATAAGACAACAAGACCACACTTATGATGAGAAACTTAAAAAGTAGGGAAAATTGTTTGAGATTAAAAGAGACTAGAGAGGGGCCAGACAAGTGGAGTGTTGGTTAAAAGTTGGCTTGAGATGCCAGCTCTGAACAGCAGGGTTCTGGTTCAGAGCCCACATAAGGGCCAGTGACGCTGCTCCCTCTACAGCTAAAATGGTGAACAACAGCTCGACCTGGAGCTGGGCTGCCGTGAG